AATTGCACTTGAAAACCGATATCGCACTCATCGCTTCATATTTAACCATGACAATCAATTCTCCATTCGCCATTTACGTAAACTAAGGAATACGAGTACTTTTTTCGCCCTCAGAGATATTCTGACAAAAAAATCGAATATTACTCGACAGGCATCAATGCATTTCATCTTGTTGAACAATTTGATTAGAAGAGACTTCTGTAAATGAAAAATGTAAGTCATTTCAATTAAGAAAAGAACTCGTCTAAATGTCTTCAAACTAGGTTTATTTGTATTGATGAACATTTCTAACTTTGATAATTTTTTTTGTTTTCATGGTTCTCATCATCATAGAAAAAATTAAAAAAAAAAACATTAGACGTTTATTTATGCATAGACTACTATGCAATAGACCCGCTATTTTTTCTTGTTCCTTCAGTCGGGACCAAAACGTTTTATCTTTCGCTTGACGATATTTTATGATGGTTGAGTTATAAGCTGTCGGTGTCATTTCAATGCATTTATCTGCATCATAATAGCACACCATAATAGACGGATCGAGTGGGTGCATGACCTTTCTTATAACCGCACAAAGACGTTATGATATAGGCACTCATAAGAGTTTGATTTCATGTATGATAAACGTGACCCTTATTTCCAAAGGAGTCCGTTGCAATTATGGATATCACAACAGACAATGTCGAAGTGACAGATCAAATCATAGATAACAACTGAACTGAACCAAAGAATGGACCAATAAAGTTTCATGTAGCTTGGGTTAAATCAGTTTTAAGTTGCAGTTCAGTAAATTGGAACTATGCAAAGTTTTCTTCGAGCTGTAATGTTCATGTCATATGAAGCAGAAATTTCACGTATGCAAATAAAACCTGAATACAAAATTAATACGTAATAAACTTAACACTCGGCTTATANNATGAATTTTCCTGTAAAATGCAACGGACTAAGGATTAATTTCATGATCCTGGGTCCTTTTTACTAACAAAGTTAGCCAAATCTCTCTTTGTATTATTCATTGGTAGAAGAACGTTCATACTTGATTTAATACTCCTGAAAATGAAGACACCTTTTTTTATTCCCATTTTCCTCTATTATGCCATGAACGTAAATTATTTCGATCCTTCCAATAAATGATGTATGTGTTGGTATACTTACAAATCGCATTCACGACCGATGTTGATGTGCCACATGGGCAATAACAAACAGGAGTCAGAGAAGATGATGTGTAGTACGAACTGGTGGCATAATTTTGTGTTTTATTGGTGGATGAAACACTGTATGAGTAGGATGTAGGGTTCCCTGAGCCATATGACGAAGACACACTTGGTGCTGAAACACTGTATGAGTAGGATTTAAGGTTCCCTGCACGATATGACGAAGACACGCTTTGTGTTGAAACTGTCAAACCAGAGCCACAAGGACATTCACACATTGGGACGGAAGACGACGAGACCTCAGATGATACGCTGATAGTGGTACCGAAAACACCTGAAAGTGATAAAAACAGCAGGCTTGATGAGAATTTTGACATAGAAACCAGTTAGAAACCAGTTTTAATTTTAGTAACTTAGTATAGACTATACGAGGATATACATCGAGCAGATGGATCAGAAAATTGAACACCTAATATTTTGCTCAGGAATTCCCAATAGTGAGCTTGCAAACGGCGGTGTACCAATATTGCACAGCTCAGATCTGCTTCTATTTTCTTTAGAATCACGCAGTGATTGAATAGAATATCCCATTCTAATTCGTTGACGAAGCGAGGTATTTAGTGCGAAATTGTTAGTTGAAAACAAGGCTAAGTAAAGTTATTCGCATTTCTTGTTTCGCGCTCAGAGTAAAAAAAAAAAAACAAACAAATATTTTTGCTGTTTTCTTCCCTTCTTATTCTTATTCAATTATGTGATTCAAGGAAAATTTATTACCTGACTCGCGAATTCCAAGTTAATTTACACTTGAAAACTGCTATCGCGCGAACCGCATTCATACTATATCGGTTTTCAAGTGCAGTTTGATGCGGAATTCACGAGTCAGTTGTTGAATTTTCCTTCGAATCGCATCACTGAATAAAATCTCGCATCCTGATTGGTGAACGAAGCAAGGTATTAAGCGTGGAATTGCGAGTTGAAAACGGGGCTAAGTGACATTGTATACATAACTATATATAAGTAATGATGTTTTCTTTTCTTTTTCTTTTTCTTAGTTTTATTCAATGATGCGTTTCAAGGAAAACCATTACTTGGATCGTGAATTTCTCGTTAAATTGCAGTTGAAAACCGACATCGCACTCATTGCTTCGCGATTCGTGTGATATCAGTTTTCGCTTGCAATTTAATGCGGAATTCCTCCGTCAAGTAACGAATTTTCCTGTAGAATTCCAAGGAACTGTAAGAGGGCGGAAATCAGAGTCCCAAGAAAAGGTGAATAAAATTTGCTCATCAATAGCACAATGCACCTACAGAAAGGAAAACTTTGCAACTTACTTTCTGAGGCGGAAATATGGATTGGCGAGGAGACAAC